TATGGATGTTAATTCTTTATTTTGCATAGCTCACAGTGCAGAATTTGGCTTCAAAGTACCACAAAAAAATCGTTCTACTCAAGGTACCTATAAGAGAGGTAGAACCACTTGTTTTGATGAAAATCCTAGTTAGCAATTGCCAAGCCCTGCCTTGCCCCATCATTTATTGCAAATATCGTGTTTTTTCGATCGTTCTTACCATTGTCGTTAATGAACTATCTTGAAAGAAAATATACTCATAAAATACATCTCATAATATATCGCACAGACTGACAGGAGTGAAAAGGGGCGGAGCTAAATGACGTCATCATTGAGGTACCAGATATAGTTAGATGAATAATCCCTTGGGAAAAAAGTAGGAATTTCTCTACTTATAGTTATTATCATCGTAACGAGGGAATGGTCAAATAATGAGAAGATTAATAATAATGTGACTAATCCGTACTGAATAAAAATACAAAGAACACATTTACAATTTTCGTTAAAGTCTGGGAGGGAATTTTATTCATAGATGCAAGGGGGTATGGAGGGAAGGACAAATTCCTAGACCGAGGTAGTAAAGAGGGTGAGACCCACTGGGCGAAATGAAAGTGGTGCTGCCTTGAAGTACCTTGATTCTACTGATAACTGGATCCAATTATTGCTCTTTTACAAAGGCTGGAAGACGACACTTTGTCAAATCATTTGCAAGAATCAATGAGGAAAGAGAGGAGGGAAGGATAAGGAAGAGAGAGGGTGAACAATACTAGCTAGTTACTGATAATCACAGCAATTGCAAATAATTTTACTTGAAGCTAAGTTGCACTTATCTTTTTTTGTACAATCTTACTTTTACGTTCTTGTTTTTGAAACGTATGTCTTGTTTATGAAAGAATAGTAGTGATGAAAATGTTGCATTCAATGATAAAATAGTTTCATGAATGTAAATCTCGGTTGTTATTTATAACATTACCGTTCGTCATAGAAAATTGGACACTGATCGGAGTAAAAGAAGAGTGAGTGGAGAAGAGAAAGAGAGGAATGAGACAGTCGGTTATTTGCTAACGTCCGCGATCGTGGCTAACACTTTGTCTGCAATCAAGGAGGCTGTGTCGTGAGTCATGTAGGACGCATCGTAGCTGACGGAGTAAGGACAGCGACCGCGAAATGTGTAGATCTGATGAAGCATCATGTAGAGGAAGCGGTGCACAGCGGAAGCCATGAGGATGTCCGTCAGCTGGAGGTGCTCGCCCTCTCCCTTGAGCAGCGAGGTAAGGTCGCCTAGGTTGGTGAGGCCGTAGTCCCTGAGCACTGGCGGGGGCGTCGCGAAGTAGCGGTGCGGGTCGACGGGCGGCTGCGTCATCTCACGCACCACCTCCTGCTGCAGCGCCAGGCCGGAGCGGATCAGGTCCGCCAGGGAGCCGTGCAAGGCCCTGCAATAGTGCCAGAAGTGGTCGCGCACGCGTGCGGGGGTGACCACGCGGTGCACAGTAGGGCGCACGTGCAGGCCCAGCACCGCCAGCGGGTTCCTGCTCATGTAGCGGCGGACGTCGGTGGCGAGATTGATGCTGAGGCTGAAGGCGTCCTGCTGCAGGCCGGCCTCCGCCACAGTCTCCACCAGCGCCGTGTTGATGGCCGCCTGCAGGCCGCTGTTGAACGTCACGCCCTCGGACTTGCACTTGGCAGTGAACTTCCGCAGGAGCGTCGGGCTGACGTCCCTGAAGACGTGGCCGGAGGCGGGGGCGCCCCCAGGCCTCGGAAACGCCTTCAGGAGGATCGGCTCGGAGTCGCAGGCCAGCAGCTCCTCCTTCATGGCCTCCAGACGTGCCGGGTCCCTCTCGAACTCCGCGCGGATCCTGCGCTTCGCCGCGTCGATCTCCGTCGACGGCACCAGCTCCCCGATCTGCCGCGAGTCGTCGACGGGGCGGCCTGCGATGACGTCATTAAGGAGCTCCACAAGCCTCTGTGTGATCAAAACCATCGTTGGGCCGCCGATGAAGGAGTGGTGGACGGGCATGACGAGGTGACTCTGATGAGGGAACTGCTCCCGGACCTCCTTCAGGTGGGTAGGCCTGGCAACACTGACGTTGCTGTCAGCGTCAGGCATGAAGACGGCGCGCCACAGGGGGGCCTGGTCGTACCCGACGGGCGTGTTGGTGAAGCGCCACAGCTCCTCCGGAATGTCACCTCCTTGTAACACCTGTTATGGCAGTTAATTCATTTAATCTTATCAGTAATGGTGCAGAAAATGTAGAAAGTGTAGAAAGAAAATCATGGCAGTTTACCTTGAAGTTTATCTGCTCTTGGTCACTTTCACAAATCCAGTATTTTCCGTCTTTTTCTTTTATGACACCGCGAAGTGCTTGGGTTTGTCTGGAAAGTGAATGATGAATTAATGAATGCATAACCAAAGTTGGCAGAAAAATAAGCAGGCGAAGTCTTCATGACACTTTTTTCCATTTCCATGCAGGATTTGATCATATTTTTCTTTATTTTTATGTGACTTTTAATGTAGTGTGGC